ATATATGAGAAGATCCACTTATTCCAAAAGTAAGTTTATCTATATCTATTTCACTTAATAACTCATGTTCTACATCTAATTTTAACAATCCAATTATTAAATTAAAACTTTTTAATACATAGATCAAATATACAAATTTTTAAAAAATTTGAAAATTATTTGATACTCCGTTTCATTAATTTAAATTCATGGATAATTATAAAAATATTTTATACGTTAATTTGAATTAATGAAATAAAAATAAAATAATTTAAATTTTTTTAAAAGTTTATAGATTCAATCTATGCATTAAGAACTTTTAATTCAATGATTAGATCGTTTAAAATATGAGTTAATAAGTGAAGTAAGTCTAGGTAAACTTACCGTTGAATAAGTGACCTTTTGGGAGTAGACAAAAATAAAACCATGAGGCTTATGCTTAAAGTGAACAATATCTTACCTATGAAAAGGCACATGTGTCATGTGTGTGGGAATCTCATAGTGCACAACAAGAGGTATCAAAGCCAGGTTTCAACCAAGTGGTAGGCTCGACAAGTATGATGGAATTGATAGGTGGATCCTGGTATAAAATCCCTTGTATCGAAGTCTTTCTAATGATGAGTTCATGTATAAAAAAGATTCTTCCTAGTAACATGAAGGGTTAGGAGACATGTTCTACTATCATGAGTTAACAATGGAGTGACCGTGCAAGTACTTAGAGTGTGACTAAGCTTTATGGATTACTATTGGATATACTCATGTAGTAGCTTCCCCCTTAAAAGGGGTTAAAGGGGGTTAAACCACAGTCCTTTGTTTGAACGAAAGATTGTTGAGATACAAGCAAAGTTCCACATGGTTTGAATAAGAGGATAGACATGATTTTATTTACATGCAAAGTCTTCATTAGTAAGAGGTCTTTTGAGAGATAACCAAAAGCAAAATTATAAAGGCTTAAGCCTAAAATGGACAATATCTTACCAATGCATGTGTGTCAACCTTTGGTGTCCAATGATGGTATCAGAGCCAATGATTTCGACCAAGTGATTGGCTAGACAAGTATGATGGAGTCAGTAAGTAAATCTGGGCATATGATCCCTTGTATCAAAAGTCTTTCTAAAGATGAATCTACTATGTATGGAGAAAAGTTTTCCTAGTAACATGGAGGGTTAGGATGCGTGTCTCGCTATCATGAGTTAATAATGAAGCAACTATGCAAGTACCAAGAGCATGATTGAGCTCTATGAGCCACCATTGGATCTTATAGACTAGCTTCTGTTGTAAGGGAGTTAAACCATGGTCCTTTATTTGAGGGGAGGATTGTTAGGATACAATCAAAGTCTCACATCGTTAAAATAAGAGAATGAACATGAGTTTATAAACACATAATTGTTTCTATTGGTAAGAAGTCTTTTAGGTAATGATTAAAAGCAAAAGCATAAGAGCTTAGGCCCAAAGAGGACAATATCTTATAGTGTGGAAACATGCATGTGTGTGGGAACCTCTAGTACACATCAAATGGTATTTGAGTTAAGTTTCGACCAAGTGACTAGCTTAACAAGTATGGTAATGGACTTGACAGGTATATTCGAGTATAAGATCTCTTGTATCTAAAATTTTCCTAACATTGAGGGTTAAGAGGCGTGTCACATTATGGTGAGTTAATGACAGAGTGGCGATGCAAGTACTTAAAGAGCACGATTGAGCTTTATGGGCCACTATTGAATATACTTATGGACTAACTTCCATTGTAATCGAGGGTTAAATCATGATCCTTTGCTTGAGAGAAAGATTGTTAGGATACAACCAAAGTTCCACATTGTTCGAACAAGAGAATGAACATGAATGTATATATATACAAAGTCTTCATTGATAAGAGGTCTTTTCGGTGATAACCAAAATAAAAATCATGAGGGTTTAAGCTCAAAGTGGATAATATCTTACTAATACAGAGATACGCGTATGTGTGTGGGAACCCCTGATGCAGAAAATAAACTCTTATAAGTCAAGACTTAAAAACTTATTAATTAATTAATTAAATTAAAAGTGTTTAATAAAATTAATTAATAATTATGCTAATTAATAGATGTAAAATGATAAATTAGTGAAATATATTTGATGTTATATTAAACACCCCAACAATCTTATACACAACAAAGAATTAAAGAAAAAGTGAAGACATGTTTTTTTTAAGAGAAAAACATTTTTAATCATATTCATACCATCTAAGCACCTTTTGACAAAAATACTTGCATGTTATCTTGTATGTTTGTTTTATTAAGACAATATAGTTGGTAAGTCTCACCCTAAACCCTTTTCAAGTGAAAATAGTTAAAGAATGAAGAGTCTGTATGTTCTAAAAATACTTGATTAGTTGTTTAAAAAACAAGTAAAAAAAATACCCATGTATTTAAGCTTGAAAATACTTTATGTTGAAAGAATATTTGATTAGTTGTCTAAAGAAGCAAGTTAAAAAATACTTATGTCTAAGCCTAAAAAATCTTGGGTTAAATAAAACTTATTAAAGTATTTGTGTCAGTGTAAATCTTTGTAGTAAACCAAGGACTAGATGTAGTCTTATATTACGACAAACTAGTATAAAAAAAATTATTTTTATCTCCACCCTTTTTATTCTTCGGTTTTAATAAGTTTTTACAGAAATCTTATTAAGAGTAAAATTTATTTTTTCTTGTTAAAAGATAACTTAGTCTTCATATTATAATTGAAATCATAAATTGTTTCATCAAGCTTTGGGAAAGGATACAATTTGCAAAAATTTATTAAAACACAATTCAACTCCTCCAACATACTTCTATTTCTAACTTGTTTTAAACTTCTTGAAACATGGTATATATACTTATTGAAGATAGGTTAAACTAATGAGACATGAGACCTTTTGAAATATCTAAAATATCCAAGAGATATAAAGTAAAAAAAAAATATCATGAAAAGAGAAAAAGATTAAAAAAAGGCTAAATAAGGAAAACTCAAACAAAATGTTATTTATTTGCTCATATCTAAGAAAAAAGAACATGGCCATAATAATAATAATAACATATAAAAATTTATATTAATTTAAGATAATTTAATACTTCATTTTTATAAAACTAAATTAACGTAATATATTCAT